CACACACACACACACACACACACACACGCACACACGCACACACACAGTAGGCCTATGTATCAGCTTTAATCCAGCGATCAAAATAACAAAAGCAGTCAGTTTTAATGGTTTTAATTACAAAATTAAGTATTGAAAATGTATCATTTAACTTACAATATGCAAAGGAGTGGAAAAATATGTGTAAAAGTGTAAAAATAAGTTTACATAAACACAAGTTTATAAATAAATACTTTTTCCCCCACAAAATCTGTAATTTTCTGTAACTTTTTGGATGTAATAAAACACCCACAGGTGTAACAGAAAACATCTGGCACATGTTTGCATTTTCTTCTGTCACTGGCCATATACTTCTAATTTTGCAATCTGGATTAGGCACAAATTAATGTCAGAATTGTTCATTTATCACCTTCCGAATCATTAATATATGTGAAAATCGGCTAAGAACTGAACAAATAGTTGTAACCGGGTTCAAAGGAAGATATAGGAATCATGTCTTTGTGGCAGGTTTTTGGTGATTAAGGGATAATACAAGACTTCTTCAACTTACAAATGGTTGTCAAAATCGAAAATGCTAAAATGCTAAAACAAAATGCCACTGAGCAAAACAGGCACTAATTTTGGAATCAGCACCCCAATATTAGTAAGAAACAAGTGTTGGATTTTACTCAGTAAATATGATGCAGGGCGGTGTAATCAAGCTTTCATCTGGGTTTTGGTGGATGGGATTGATAAGGTAACTTTTAGTTTATTGTCAGATGTCACCTCAGATGCATGCTAAGGATGGTCAGCTGGTGGTCCTCAACATCACTAAATGTTACTAGGTGATCTTCAAACACACAAAAACAGGCATCCATCACAACTGTGGTCCTCAGGTTGCCATGACCCTGGTCTGCTCCTTTGGCCTGAGCTCATGCTGATGATGTCATGGCCGTGGTGACCTCACGTAGGTCTGGTTCAGCTGAAGATGTTCATGAGCAGGAGGAAGCTCATAAAGGCAGAATTGGACTTTTATTGCACAACCGCTGCAGGTGTGTGTGTGTGTTTATGACCAGATAAGATGAAGATATATATTTGATATGAAGTAATATTTCTGAACTGCTTTTTTGTTGTTGAGGAAGGATCCTAGGTAGGTGTCAAGCGTGAGGGATTAGGCTTTGAGCGGATGCCGAGAAGGTAACGTTCTTTGAGCCAGAACCAAACATTACATACTCGTTCGCACATTAGCTCATCTCTCGTCATCTTTGCTATCAAGATGGAAATAATTGCGATAGAAGAAACAGCCATTTTCCAAGGAGGCCCTGGGGTACCACAAAGTCTGTCTGTAGCATTCACGCCTGTGTCACCCCACAGTAGTCTGAAAGGTGTTGAAAGCTCCTCCCTGTGTACTGCATGTTGTACTACTGCTGTATGGCTCTGACAGCACCTCAGTTTGGACAAAGTGACTCACAGTCTCTCCTCTGCTCTGGTCGTGCATTCTGACCATGTTCCCCTCTGGTTGAACGTTAGAACTGGTGTCGTATTTAAAAATTTCTGCCTCATAGGACATGATTTGTGTCCAATAGGAGCTGAAAAATTGCCAAAAGGCCATTGGGCAGAAGTTCTCATTTTTTGGTTGTCAATTAATCTTTGGTTATTGTCGTTAAATGGAAGAAGTAAATAAAAGTGCTGTTATGAATAAGTCTATTCAACAGATGCACTTCCTGATTTAATGGTAAACCTTGGGTAAGCTATGCCACTGTTTCCCAACTTATGTCTTATGTAGCCATCTGTAATGCAATTCTAGGAAAATAAGATTATTTGCCCAGAACAGAATCCTGGGAAACAGAAATACTAAAAGGAAGTAATTCTACGAAAAGACAGAAGTACGAACAAGATGTTTTACATGTGTCTTCCACAAAACAGACAAAACTTTTAAAATTTCAAACATTTACAACATATACAATATTACACATAATCAGCAGTTACAACACAACAGAATACAGATGAGTCTTCAACTGAGATACTAATGAAAACTAGATAGTAATTTTGACAAGACAAGCTGTAACGTTGGCTTGAAAAAGCCTAGCCTGAAATTCTGCAGTAGTTGTAAAAGCCTGAAGTTTGAAGATGTTCAGTTTTAAGTAGTATTTTTAAAAGACTGAATCTGAAGATTTTAAGTTCATGCAGTGTGTCAGAAGGACAGATAATTTAAAAAGAAAAAAATTCTAAGTACCCCTGCTCTACAAGTACCACTCACATTGCCAATATGCTTTTTTGTTTAGATAAATCGTTTGAATCAATATACTGATTGAAACAGAAGCATTTTAATTTAGTTTACAATGAATTTAAACTGCACTACCCATTTTATTAAAAATAGAAATAAATTCAGATTGATCATACCTGCAAATACTTAATCTATCATATGAGCAATTATTGATGGGTCATAAACAATTCCTGAATATAAAAGTCCAGGCCTGCTGAGGTCAAGCCAGTGAAAGCCTTCATCATCCCAAGAGTGCAGCTGCCCTTTGGCTTCAACTCAAAGGAATGTGGCTTTAAACCTGAGAGCAAGGAAGCAGAGCCCCCTCTGCGAGTGTTCGGAACATATGAGGGGTGACAATGAGCCTTATGCTCTTTAACAGCTCTTGAGTCCCGAGCGGAGGATGTAATGGACTGTGGTCCTGTTCTGTTGTGCAGTCTGACTCATCACCATTTATTATATAACCACACACTAATGTGCAGGGGGGACCCAAGGTTGCACTAAGATTTAGGATGCGAGTGCTTGAATGCCAAGCTGTCAGCGAATGTAAATTAAAAGCAAGAACAGCTTGTTTTCTCAATCATTTTATTGGCATGGTTCTTTTTTGCCCTCACAAATGAGGGCAAGGAACACACTTGTGTGAGGAGAGATGAGATTTTTAGAAAGTACAACCTATTTTGGTGCCTATATACATAAACGCACCAATAAAATGTTCATTGCATTGGAGAACATACTTGGAGAAAATTATGTTCATGCACCCAAAAGACAGATAGCAATCGCAAATGACTTGTCCACCTGCTGTGCAGAATGGCTGACAAAGGCCATAACCTGCTAGTTTCACAGCAGGTCCAAGCATATTAAATGATCACAAAGTGAGCTGAGTGCAATATATAAATAACTGTTATTATTTTTTGTTGATGTTTTGGCAAATTCTTAATAGATGGAGACCACAATGACTTGCAATTTAAAAAGATTCCAAACAGGACCTACAAAATCACATGAAATAATAAATGCATCCTTTTTATTTTGATTTATGAAGTGCAGTACATAATTAAATTAATTATACATATTTAAATATTTTTAAACTTATACAAAAGTTTTAGTATAAAAATATTCTATAATCTACAGTGACATGCCTTAATTCAGGTTAAACTCAAAGACTCAGAATTATCAATGCAAATAACAGTACTCAATGTATAACTAAATGCAATTCAAGAGGGCTTTTAAACGCCGTACGAAATTTGTCCTATTTTACTATCCGTTCTTAAACCAAACAGGAAGTCAACGAGATTCGCCAGACCAAAGAAGTCATTTCTGATCCGTTCAGTCCATACAAGTCGCTGCGGCTATGGAACGATATGACATCGATTATTTACGTCTGGTTATAATGTTTTTAATCGAAAAGCGGACGCGATGAAGCCCTGGCAGATGTTTATTACAACTGTATTATTGTCTTAAATTAAGACTGATAGTATATTTAACCGGCCATATTGGTTTTTAGTAATCAGGCAGAGTTATATCAAGAATATAAACTGCCTCGAAACGCAAAAGCTGAAGCAGATCCAGTGCAGGGTCTTTGCTCTAGGCCCTGCAGTTTATTTCCCATCGCCTGACAAACCTGAATTTTTTCTTTTATATCCGCTTTGTTTTATTCACTACGGTTTTGCATAACACTTTGTCTATTACTGAAGATGGACACAGACAAGTTTAACTATGTGTATAGTTGCGATTTGGACATAAACGTCCAACTGAAAATGTGAGTATGTTTCTGGACCTTAGTCATTGTTTTGATTGCAGAACTGTCAAACCAGCAGAATGTCAACAGAGGCTGAATAAACACCGCATTGCTCAAAGACACATCGCGCGTATTACTGGAAGATGCTATGTATCATATCCATCTATATCGCTGTATGTAATTTAATATGATTTTAAATAATAAATCTCAATTGTAAGTCGCTTTGGATAAAAGCGTCTGCTAAATGACTAAATGTAAAAGTGT